ATATATATATATATATATATATATATATATATATATATATATATATATATATATATATATATATATATATATGTTGACAAAATACATGTTTTGATCCTTTAACTTTACCTCTGGGTCCATTTTGATCCCTCAATTTTAAAAGAGGCCAATTTGATCCTTTAACTGTTTAAATAACTCCATGTTAGTCTTTTCTGTTTGCTCAGTTAGTCAAAGTCAAATTTAGGATCCAGGTGGCGCAAACATGTTACTGAGGTGGATACGAGGTTAGTCATAAAGGCATATGAACCCTAGCAAGAGCAACTCACGAAGGAGGATTCAACTGCGATTTGTGAAAGGAGGAGAGTAAGCGAAATAGGAAGCTTGTTTGAAGGTGAAATCTAAGAAACCATGATCTATTACAGGTTTTTTCAATAAATCTTTATGCAATTTTAAACTGTTATAGTTTTAGGGCTTAGGTTTAGGTGTTTATGATTTTTGAAATCTTTCTTTGTTAATGTTTATAGTTTCTTATTTTAAGGTTTAGTTTTTTTAATGTTTATGGTTTCTAATTTTAGGGTTTAGTTTGAAATGGGTGAATATTTACATCTCAGAATTCATCATAGTGGTTAATTCATTGATGAGGAATTTAGTGTAAATGAAGGAGAAACATTTGATGATTTAAAAGTAGAGGTTGACAGTTGGAGTTATTTTGAGTTGTTAGGTTGCTTTAAGGAGTTAGATTATAATGAAATAGAGAAAATATATTACAGGGATCCCTCATTTGGGATGAATATGGTGGTTGATGACTAAGGTATCCTAGAGATTGTTGATCTTTATAGGGTGAATCTAAGTGTTGATATCTATATTCAATACACTTTTGTATTAGTCTGGGTATTATGATGCCCCCCTTGATGACATAGAATTAGATCATGATGACATTGTAGATGAATGTGAAGAAGTGCCTGCTAAAATGTATGAAGAAGTGATTATTGGGAAGTTGAAGGGTAGGGAGTTGAGATAAGCTGAGATGAAGGAAAGTGAGGCAAATGAAGCTGAGTTGAAGGAAGCTGATCCAATCATGATAATATGCACGAGGGTGGTGAAATTCATGATGATATTAGTTCTGATGACACTGAGGATGAGAGCTTCAATTATGATAGTATTTTGGAGATAGCTTTTGATGATGATTCTGATGAGTATGATGATTTTAAGGAAGATGAACTTGCTAATCTAATTGACTATGAACATGAATATGATCAATAGGGAAAAGAAAAAAATGGAAAGAAAAGTTCAGAGAAGAGAAAGAAGAATTTAAATGGAGTGATAATGAGAGTGAAGAGCTAGAAAGTGGATGTAAGAGTGATGGTAGCAATGGAGTTAGAAAAAAGAAGTACCACATGTTCAAGTTAGAAAAATATGTATCCAATTACAAATGGGAGGTAAGATTGTATTTTAGTACCAAAGGTGATTTTAAGGAAGCAATAAGGGTAAAGGTTAGACGTAAAGATGGATGTGATTAGGAAGTATATTGTGTTAAGTTGTCAAATGAGGATTCTTGGCAACTAAAGAAGGCAGTTGACATTCATAGTTGTAGTAGAGAGTATAATGTGAAAATGACGAGTACTAAATAGTTGAGCAAAAGGATTCAAAATTCCTTGGAAAAAACTCTAGGATTAAGATTAAGGATATAAAGGAAAAGCCACAAAAGAAGTGAAATGTAGGGGTCAATAAGACATAAGATCTATATTTACAGCTAGAGACATGGTTGATGGTTCTTTCCTAGGGGATTATACTAGAATTTATGACTATTGTCATGAGGTATGAAGAACAAACCTAGGGTCAACAGTAAAACTAAATGTTTAACTTGTTCAAGAAGGTATTGATGATCAAATACCCCTTTTCAGAAGAATATACATATACTATGCAACATGTAAGGAAAGCTTTAAGTTGTTTAGACATTTCATAGATCTTGATGGTTACTTTTTAAAAGGCCTTTCTGGAGGGAAAATCCTGGCAGACATAGGTAGAGATCTCAATGATCAAATACTGCCAATGGATTTTGCAGTAGTGAAAGGTGAAAATAATGATAGTTGGACATGGTTTTTGGAGCTTCTTATTGATGACCTTGGAAGTAGAACTGAATGTATCACATACGCATTCATTTCTGATTAACACAAGGTATGTTATATTCTTTGTTTCTGTTGTTATGTTTATGTTTGATGTTATATTTTTTGTTTCTGTTGTTATGTTTATGTTTGATGTTATATTTTTGTGTTTTCATTTCTAATTGTTGTTATGTTTCTGTTTATGTTATTATCATTTCTAATTGCATGGTCTATTACCTGAAATGGATGAGCTTCTACCTACTGTTGAACAACAATTCTGTGCCAGGCACCTGTATAACAACTTTAGGAAGAAGTTTTCTGGAAAGATGTTGAAGGAATTCATATGGAAGGCTTCAAAATCAACCTACTCATAATCATGGGAAAAAGAAATTAAACGGATGAGAGTTCTCAATGAAGATGCCTTCAAACACGTGTTGAGCACTCCACCAAGATTCTAGAGTAGATCATACTTTAAGACACATGACAAGTGTGGTGTTATTCTAAATAACATGTCAAAAGCTTGTGATGCCAAATATTATTGGTACACACCACATATTTATAATGTGTGTTTGGTATAAACCACAAATTATTTTGGTTTTATGTGTCAACGGGTGTAAACTAAACAATTAGTCTCAATTGATAAAATGTGTTCTAAACCAAACAACTAGTGTTAATTGGTATAATGTATAATAAACCAAATAAATAGGGTCAACTGGTATAATTTGTTATTCAACCGAATTTTAAAACCAGCCAAATTAATATAAATCATTAAACTTATATTAACTGATATAAACAATTCAATTTGTAAAAATTAACTGATATACTTATGCCATTCAAACTGATAACCACTAATCCAAACATTAATCAGTTCAAATGTTACAAACTGATACAAACAGATGCAACCTAACACAAAATGATTATCTGAAAATAATTACATGTTCTTACAACATCCTAAATACAAACAAAGAGAAAATAATACAAAAGATAATCTTCCACAAATTTTTCCAGTTCACCATCTTGCTTATGTTCCTCATTTGTAACCCTAAGATTTTCGGCCTCCATTTTTGTTGCATCAACTTCTTTTGCTAGCTTCTCCAACCCACTTTTTTACTTCATCATAAATTGGTCCTTCTCATCTACCACATCCTCATTGAACAAATAAAAAAATTCACACCCAGCTTGCGTAAAACCCTGTATAAATTAAGCAAATGGTTTATATCAGTTGAAATTGTGAAGTACAAATATTTCAAAATATTTCTTACCATAAAATGTCGACAACCCCAAAATTATTTTCCAAAATTCGTAAAGGTTGATGCCTTGCAAAGAACAGACATGTCTCCACAATGAAAAATAGATTTCCATCACAAATTTGAGCTTGTGTATACATTAGAATCAAAACATATACAGGTCTTCTGTTTAGATATGTTTGAATAATGCCCAAAATTCACTGTTAATGGAACCTTAGATTTCAATGAACAATTTTAGTTCAGAATTAAATAATTCATAAACCCTAATTTGATTTGAAGAGAAAAGGAACCAGAAGGGGACGAAACTCAGGGTGGAAATGAAGAAGATGATTGTTAATTGTCAACTCACCTGTCACCCGCACATAAATAAACGTCGTTTGAGCAAAATAGACAAAAAAATGACTTTTGTAACACTATTGAATAATTAAATGATCAAATTGACCTCTTTTAAAATTAAGGGACCAAAATAGATCAAATGATAAAATTAAAGGAAGAAAAAAAAAGAATGATTTGCCTTTTTTTTAAAGAAAATGGTATTATACACAATGTTTCATCTTCTAACACATTGTAGTGAAACAATGTTCTATGAAAACAAATATATCTCATTAAAATATACCAATAACCATAATTCATGAAACAAATGTTACAAAATACTTTTAAATAAAAAGAATTCATGTTTTTTATTACATTAAAAATAGAATCTAAATAAGATTTATCTTAAATATAACTCCCTATATAAATTGTTGAAAGAAATAATATATACTTTATTTTTTAAACTTCTTTATTTACTATAATATATTTTATCAATTTTTTTTAAAAATGTTTTTATAAAAAAAAACAATTCAAATCCCACTTTTTTGTTTGAAAAAGAATTTAAGGGCGAACCTTGATATTAACTTGTGTAGCATGTTAAACTATGAAGTTTAATATTAGATAAATTAGATTATCTTGACAAAAAAATATTACATGTACTTTTTTATATGGATCCTCTCATTCTCTTTTTCTCTAATATTTCCGTGATACTCAAATCTTGGCCATTCATTTACTTTATTTATTCATCTCTTATGAATTTCATTATTTTTTATGGATTTTATCAACCATTGGATTACAAAAAAGATAAATAGTTTAACCATAAAAATTGGTGAAGATCCAAATCCGCATTTTTCATTTCGAAGTATAATAATAGAAATATTCATTATTATTTACTAAAAAAAGAATAAAAAAATATGACACATCCTATCATTATAAAAAAAAATCTCAAAATCTAATTTTAGCTACTACTAGATTTATCCTTGGAAAAAAGCAACTACTAGATATACGCAAAAAGAAAAATGTATAAATTTAGCAAGTATCCAATATAGAAAAAGAGATAAACAAAATAATTTGTATTAAAAATAGCAATAAGTAAATCAATTTAATGGTTACTAATAAACAAACCCAGATTAGTCGGAGCTAAGCTCAATTAGCCACCAACAATAATTAACCTTATCATCTATTCATCCTAATCCTTCACCTTCTCATCATTATAAGTATCCTCACACTTTCATCAAACAGAAACAAACAAAAAAAAATTAAAAAACAAAAAAATATATATTTGTCTCTGTCGTTTCGTCCCTTCGATCTTTAAATCTTAATTTGTATTTGAGTTATAACCTTAATTATAATCATTATGGGATTTCTTGACAAACTTTGGGACGAAACGTTGGCGGGTCCCTTACCTGAATCGGGTTTGGGTAAACTTCGAAAGTATAACTCTTTCTCTGCAAGCTCCGGCTTCCAGTCGCCGCTGCCGGTGAAGGAAGATGTTCCTATTACTCGTAGCATTATGATTATTAGAAGCAATTCTAACTTTGGTAGAGGCACCGTTTCGGAACCTGTTTCTCCTTGTTCTTCTACACCTATATCCCCTCGCACCCCTTTATCACGTAATAATATTCATTTACAAAAATATCGATATTGTTAAATTAGACTCTATCACCGACTTAGAACTCTGACTCTTATGATTGTGTAAATTTCTTATTTTGCAGCGGAGACACCGGGCGACAATTTTAAGAAATTCACAAGAAGAAAATTGCAGATTGATTCAGAGAGCTCCGACAATCGAAGTCCGACTATTTTTAATTGATTATTTTTTAATTCAACAATGAGAAATTACTCATGAACTTTAAGTTTTTCATGCTTTTTTAATGTCTAACTTTTCTAATAGTTTTATGGTTTTTTTTTTTTGCAGGGTGATTTTATGAGTGCTTTGGATCGTTGTTAGAGAGAAAGGAAGTAAGGTGTTTTGCATTGAACATCGTCATTTGGGATATAATTAATATTGATTTTTTAATTTCTTAGTGGAATCATATAGCATGTAGTTGCTATTTTTATATATTGTATATATTGTGTATATAATGTATATTACTATGTGTAATATAAAGTACATATAGGCTATAAGTTAGTGGCCAGAGCTTCAAGAGATTTTGAGGGAGTGAAGGAGTACAAAGAAAGTCACTAGAAATATATTTTGTATTATGTTTTTTATTTGATGAGTTTTTGGGTGGTGACTATTGTAAATATGAATTGTGTACTCTGAATTCTGTGTGGAACTCAATGAAGCTAGAATTTTATTATGTTTTTGTTGTTGTTGTTAAATCTATTTTGCTTAGTTGTGTTTAATGTTGTAAGTTTAGAATTAAGTTGGTTTGCTTACGTTAAATTTTAATAATTTAAAATGTTGAAAATTCAAACATGGAGATGTAGCTTATACGGTAGAGTGTTTGTTTTGCATATGAGAGTTATAGGGTTTGATACACTCCATCTCCATCTTAGCCTTTTTAATTTGTGTTATTTATCTCATGGACACAGTTCACCTTTTAATTTGTGTTATTTATCTTATACCCATTCATATTTTAATTTGCGTGATTTATCTCATATGCACAACATAGGAATGTAATTACACGACAGAACACTAGCTCTGCACTTGAGAGGTATTGGGTTTGATACATTGCAACCCCATTTTAGCCTTTTAATTTTTATTTATTTATCTTATACGCGTATTCCACCTTTTAGTTTGTCTGATTTATCTCATGTGTAGAATTCACCTTTTAATCCATGTGATTTATCTCATATGCACAATTCACCATTTAATTTGTGTGATTTATATCTTATGCATGATGTGGGGATGTAGTTTACATGGTAGAGCACTCGCTTTGCACCCGAGAGGTATGAGGTTTGATACCCCGCATACCTATTTTAACCTTTTAATTTGTTTGATGTGTCTCCTACACACAGTTTACCTGTAAATTTGTGACTTATCTCATATGCACAAACATGGAGATTTAACTTACATTGTATAGCGCTCACCTTGCACCTGAGAGGTACGTGGTTTAATACTCTACATCCCCATTTAGCCTTTTAATTTGTGTATTTTATCTGATGCGCATAAGTAACCTTTTAATTTGTGTGATAAATTTTCTACACACAACATAGGGATGTTACTTACATGGTAAAGCGCCCTCTTTGCACCCGAATAGTACGGGGGTTGGATACTTTACATCTCCCTTTTAGCCTTTAAACTTGTGTGATTTATCTCATGCGCACAAGTCTCCTTTTAATTTGTATGATTTCTCTCATACACACAATTCATTTTTTAATTTGTGTGATTTATCTCATAGGTACAACCTGGGGATATAAATTACGATTTGCACTCGAGAGGTATGAACTTTGATACCCCGCATCCCCATCTCGGCCATTCAATTTGTTTGATTTCTCTCATACGCACAATTCACATTTTAGTTTATGTGATTTATCTCATAAGCATAACCTGGGGGTGTAGCTTACATGGTAGAGCGCCCACTTTACACCCGAGAAGTATGGGATTTGATACCCTACATCCCCATTTAGCCTTTTAATTTGTGTGATTTTCTCATACACACAATTCACTTTTAAATTTGAATGATTTATCTAATTCACAAAAAGAATCTTTTAAATTGTTTTGTTTATCTCATACGCACAAATAGGGATGTAGCCTAAATGGTACAACACTAGCTTTTCACTTGAGAGGTATTGGTTTTGATACCCTCAAATCCTCATTTTATACTTTTAATTCATGTGATTCATCTTATGCGCACAATTCATCTTTTGATTTATTTAATTTATCTCATACACACTTAATGGGGATGTTGCTTACATGATAGAGCACTCGCCTTGCACCCGAGTAGTACAGGTTTTGATACTCTACATCCCTATTTAGAACTTTAATTTGTGCGGTTTATCTCATACGCACAATACACCTTTCATTTTGTGTGATTTATATCATACGCATAACATAAGGGTGCGTCTTTTATGGTACATCACTCGCTCTACTTTTGAAAGGTACGGGGCTCGATTCCCCACATACATGTTTACCCTTTTAATAGGTTTGATTTATCTCATATGCACAATTGACCTTTTAATTTGTGTAATATATCTCATATGTATAACATGGGGATGTAGCTTACTTGGTAGAGTGCCCCCTTTGCACCTGAGTAGTACAGGGGTTTGATACCCTGCATCTCGAGTTATGCTTTTTAATCTATGTGATTTATGTCAAACACACAATTCACCTTTTAATTTGTTTTATTTATCTCATATGCATAATTCACCTTTTAATTTGTGTGATTTTTCTCTTATGCCCAATTCACCTTTTAATTTGTGTGATTTATCTCATACGCACAACATAGGGATGTAGGTTACATGGTAGAGCACTCGCTTTGCACCTGAGAAGTATGGACTTTGACACCCCACATCTCCATTTTATCCTTTTAACATTTGTGATATATCGCATACGCACAATTCACCTTTTAATTTGTGTGATATATCGCATACGCACAAGTCACCTTTTAATTTGTGTGATTTATCTCATAAGCACAATTGACATTTTAATTTGTGTGATTTGTCTCATACATATATTTCACCTTTTAATTAGTGTGATTTATCTCATACGCACATATTACGGATGTAGCTTACATGGTAGAGCGCTCGCTTGGCACCCGAGAGGTATGGAGCTTGATACCTTGCATCCTCAGTTAGCCTTTTATATTATGTGATTATCTCATAGGAACAATTCACCTTTTAATATGTGTGATTTATCTCATGCATACATTTGACCTTTTAATTTGTATGTAGATTTTATGGTACAACGCTCGCTCTTCTTTCGAGAGGTACGGGGTTTGATTCCTCGCATTCCCATTTTAGCCTTTTAATTTGTGTGATTTACCTCATGCAGACAACTGACCTTTTAATTTGTATGATATATCGCATACGCATAACATGGGGATATTGCTTACATGGTAGAGATCCATCTTTGCACCAAAGTAGTACAGGGGTTCGATACCCTATATATCCATTTTAGCCTTTTAATTTGTGTGATTTATCTTAGAAGCACATTTCATGTTTAATTTGTATAATTTCTCTCATACACACAATTCATATTTTAATTTGTGTGATTTATCTCATACACAAAACATGGGGATGTAGCTTATATGGTATATCATTCATCCTTAACCTAAGAGGTACGGGTTCAATTACCCACATTCCTATTTATCATTTTAATTTGTGTGATACATCTTATACAAACAATTCACCTTTTAATTTGTGTGATATATCTCATACACACATCATGGGGATGTAGCTTTCATGGTAGAGATCCCGCTTTTCACTTAAGTAGTACGGGGGTTCGATACCTTGCATCTCCATTTTTTTAGCCTTTTAATTTGTGTGATTTATCTCATACACACAATTTAACTTTTAATTTTATTTATTTATCTCATACCCACGACATGGGAGCGTAGCTTTTATGGTATAATGCTCACTCTACACTCGAGAGGTACGAGGTTTGATTCCCTGCATCCCCATTTTAGCCTTTTAATTTTGTAATTTATCTCATACGCACAATTCACCTTTTAATTTTTTTGATTTATCTCATTTGCACAAAATGGGGATATAGCTTATATGGCATATCACTCGCTTTGCACCCGAGATGTATGGGCTAGCTTATATGGCATATCACTCGCTTTGCACCCGAGATGTATGGGCTTTGGTGCTCCACATCTCCATTTTAGCCTTTTAATTTGTGTGATTTCTGTCATATGCACAATTCACGTTTTAATTTGTGTGATATATCACATATGCACAACATAGGGATGTAGCTTACTGTGTAGATATCCCGCTTTGCACTTGAGTAGTACAGGAGTTCAATACCCTGCATCTCCATTTTAGCCTTTTAATTTGTCTGAATTATCTCATAGCACAATTTGTATGTTTTCTCTCATACACACAATTGACCTTTTAATTTGCTCTATAGTACAGAGGTTTGATCCTCTACATCTCCATTTTAGCTTTATAATTTGTATGGTTTATCTCTTATACACAAGTCACATATACACAAGTCACATTTTAATTTGTGTGGTTTATCTCATTCGGACAATTTAACTTTCATTTTGTATGATTTATCTCATACGCACAACATGGGGATGAAACTTACATGGTTGAGCGCTCCCACGTAGCTTTTTAATTTGTGTGATTTATCTTTTAATTTTTTAAATTTATTTCATACCCACAACATAGTGATGTAGCTGTTAGACGAAGGCAGCTAATCTAGAGGGGGATGGATAGATCCGAACTTAAAAAGTTACTTTTAACATCTGTTTTTCAAAAATTAACGGCTAGCAAAAATGACCCGGATTGAATCGTCTAAACTGAAACACTATCGAAAAGTTTAGATATGCGTATATGAAAATCAATCGATGATAATAATAGCTTTTTAATTTGTTTGATTTATCTCATACATACAATTTATCTTTTAATTTTTTAAATTTATTTCATACCCACAACATAGTGATGTAGCTGTTAGACGAAGGCAGCTAAGCTAATCTAGAGGGGGATGGATAGATCCGAACTTAAAAAGTTACTTTTAACATCTGTTTTTCAAAAATTAACGGTTAGCAAAAATGACCCGGATTGAATCGTCTAAACTGAAACACTATCGAAAAGTTTAGATATGCGTATATGAAAATCAATCGATGATAATATAGCTTTTTAATTTGTTTGATTTATCTCATACATACAATTTATCTTTTAATTTTTTAAATTTATTTCATA